GAGGGTTCCATTTCCAGCCAGGGCTGTGAGGAAGGAAGCAAAGAACTGGGGGGGGGGGGCGTGCGGGTGCAGATCGACGTGTAGCCCTGTAAACACAACACTCAGGAGGCTGCGTCAGGCGGATCCGAGTTCAAGGAGATTTCATGAAACCTTGTCTGAAAACAGAACAAAACTCCTAGAGATGAAAGAGGAGGAGAAAGGCCACTCGCCCAGCTGGGAAATGTTCACTGGTGAAAGTTGTCCTTAGCCTGAGCCCTCGGCCGTGGGCCAATTTGTCAGTCCTTTATCTCACAAAATTACCCAGGCTTGAACATGAGATCCTCCTGCCTCAGCAACCTTACTTCTCTAAACCGGAATTACAAGTGTGGGTCGCCGGGCCTGGTTTATATCGAGTTCTCTAAACTGTCTTTTTATCTCTGTCCATAATTTCTGTGGTTAGGGAAAAGGGAAACAACCAATGCAAACATGCCCCAGTTGTTAGGAAAAGGCTGGGGGAGAGCGCTACACACACTTTCTTAGCACTCCTGAGCCTGGAAAAGCCCCTCCCTGCTCAAAGCCAGGTCCTTATTTAGGCAGAGATGTCCCCAGCCGGCCTTCCAGCAGGAATCCTTCCCTAAGCATCTCCTCCTCCCTCCTTCACCGTGTGGCCAGCTGCAGCCGGCTCTCCCCTGGGGCCTCCCTTCTCCCTGGTAGTGTCGGCCCAGGCCAGGCTACACATATGTACCTCGTTAGAGGCCGCCAGCACCAAAGCCGGCGCATCTGGCTGCGGCAGACAAAGTGCACTTTTGGGGCAGTGAAGGGAGAGGTGCACGTCAGGACAGGCCCCGCAGGGCTCTGCTGACATCTGGACAGTGGAGGTGGCTGGTGGCCGCATCCGTCCTAGCCAAACTGGCCCAGTCCCTCCATGCTTCAGAGAGCTCTTGCTGACTGGCCTTCCCCACCTGAAGGCTTTGGAGGCCGAAGCCTGCATAGGACAGAGAGGCCAATGTTCTGCTGTTGGGGGAGGCTTGAGGCAGGAGATTGCTTCAGGACCTATTGTGAGAACAGGACTACTACCCAGCGACTACCAGCTTATGGTGGCCAGGCTTTGTGGCGTGGCTTCAGGTAGCCGGGGCTTAAAGTAGATAAGTGTGTTAGAAGGCATACCTGAGGTCCCTCCTGGAACTCCAGGACACCAGCAGGTCCCGTGTTGTAACATCATGTGTCAGCTTCGGGACCTGAGAAGGTCAGGGTCAGAAGCAGCCTGCCAATTCCTGCCTTCAGGCTGAAGCAGCTGTTCCTAAGGTCCTTGCTGAAGTTGGCTGGAGATGAAAGTCACTTACCAACCAATGAAAGCCCCAGCAGACAAGCCCCAGCCTTTCCCAGCTGAGCTGCAGCCATGGTCCTTAGTAAATCTCTCTTACAGAAACCCCAACCTCACCCCATCCCCAGCCTATGCTCCCATCTCTCACCTCCTCCAAGCCTCCTGCAGTGAGCAAAAGTGGCTGCACACTTCCTTCTAAAGCCCCCCAGAAAGAACATAGGGTCTCGTGACTGGAAGCAGCCATTAGGATAGAAGTTCAAAGATAAGAGTGTGGGAGGGCTCAAGGCCCTCACTGTAGGGTGGAATCTCAGAGACAGGGTCTCGTAACTCAGGCTGGCCTTGGACTCATTGTGTAGCTCAGGCTAGCCTTGAATTCCTGATGCCCCCCTGCCTCTGCTTCCCAAATGCTGGCATTACAGACATGCGCCACCACCATACCTAGTTTTAGGGTAGACCTTCTTACAAAACTATTTTAACTTCTGTGATAAAAATAATCAAACAAAGCTGGAGAGCTGCCTCAGGGGTTTAAGAGCACTGGCTCTCAACTCGGAACTACCCAGAGGACCTGGGTTCCATTCCCAGCACACACAAATTAATCAAACAAACTCCACCCATGCACCCATGGAATGTATGTAAGGTGTTTGGGGTGTAGCTTAGTTGGCACAGCGTGTCTCCAGCATACACAAATGCCTGGATTCATTCCCAGCATTGCATAAACCCAGCATGATGGTTTAACCTGTGATCCCGGTTCTTGGGAGGTAGAGGCAGAAAGATCAGAAGTTCAGGCTCATCCTGGGCCACACAGGGAATCCATGGCCAGTCTTAGATATATAACCTCTGTCTCGAAAGTAAAAAAGACATTAAACATATATTCTGTAAAAGAGTTATAATGATAAAACAATCCTGTTCCTAATTCAAATAAAAAAAGTTGTAAAAAAAAAAAAGAGAGTTATAACGTGATTACATATGTAATGGAGAAGGGGGTTTACAGTTTTCTTTTGGGAATAATTTTTTTTTTAATTTGGATTTTCAAGACAGGGTTTCTTTGTGTAGTTTTTTGGAAGCTATTCTGACACTCACTCTGGAGACTAGGCTGGCCTCCAACTCAGAGATCCGCCTGCCTCTGCCTCCCGAGTGCTTGGATTAAAGGCATGTGCCCCCAACGCCCGGCCTAATTTTTTTTTTTTTTTTTTTTTTGAGATAGGGCCTTACTATGTAGCTCTGGAAGGCTTGAAACTTGTTATTTGTTTTTTAAGATTTTTATTTATTTATTATGTTTACAGCATTTTGCTTCCATGCATATCTGCACACCAGAAGAGGGCAGCAGATCTCATTACAGATGGTTGTGAGCCACCATGTGGTTTCTGGGAATTGAACTCAGGACCTCTGGAAGAGCAGTCAGTGCTCTTAACCTCTGAGCCATCTCTCCAGCCCGGAACTTGTTATTTAGGCCAGATTGGCTACAAACTCACAGAGATTCACTTGCCTGGACCTCCTGAGTGCTAGAATTAAGGTCATGCACCACCACATCCAACTCAATTAATTTTTCTTGAGACAGTGTCTCACACCATAGATCCAGTTGGCTCGAAACTCACCAGGTGGCCCAGGTTAGCCTGAAATGGTGGCAATCCCCCTGCCTCATCCTCCCAAGTGTTTGGATTATAAGTATAAATCATTAGCGCCTGGTTAATCTTCCATTTATAGAAAAGTTGCAGAGACTTCCTCTAAACCCTTCGCCCACGCCTTCAAAGATTAGTGTGTTGCATAACTTTGGCAAATGCACCCTAGTTAAGAAATTAATATTGGAACAGAACCATGAACTAAACCAGACCTTTCCTGTCACCATTTTCCCCAATATGTATGTGACTTAACGCTTGCTAACTATCCACATTAGGAGAAAGAAAAAGAAATAGATACAATTAACTTCAATTATATATGTATATATATATTTACTTATTGCTGGGCATCCATAATTCCAGAACTTGGGATATGTGGAATATGGAGGCAGAGGATCAGGAGTTCAAAATCAGTCTCAGCTGCACAGGGAGTCTGAGGGCAGCCAGGTCTACATGACTGGATTCTGGGAGTGTCTGCAGAACTCATATACATATACCCTTACTCACAAACGCACATACATATATCCCTAGGTTTGCCTGATAACTCTGCACTGCAAAAAAGGAAAAAATAAATTTCAAGATAAATTGAAATAAAATTTAAAACTAAGTCTTTGAGGCCAAGGGGGCAGAGGCAGGCAGATTTCTATGATTTTGAGGCCAGCCTGATTAACTTAGTGAATTCCAAGTCAGCCAGGGCTACATCGTGAGACCTTGTCTCAAAAGCAGAAGATAACAAGCTCTTTTTGAAATGGATGTGGGCTGTGCATCCCCAGCACATAAAACTCCACAAGATTGTTGTATCTGAATTATTTCAAACTGCCTTACATACTTTCAAAAGATTTATCTTATAATTTTAATGTGTGTCTAGGGGTGTGTGCATATGAGTTTAGGTGCCCTCAGAGGCCAGAAGAGGGTGTCAGATTGATCTCAGGGCGCTGGAGTTACCGGTGATTGGGAGCTGCCATGTGGGCGCTGGGGACCAAACTCTGGTCCTTTCTCTGCAAGAGCAGTAAGCAGTTTTAACTGCTGACCTGCCTCTGCAACTTCTTCCTTACATATTTCTGACAACTGAATTGAGTTGTTAAATTTAAGATGACAGAAATGGTCAGCCAGATGGCTCAGTGTGTAAAGCCACCTACTGCCAGGGCTGATGACCCAAGAGTGATCTCTGGAACCCACACGGTGGAAGGAGAGGGCTGGTTCTTGCAGGTTGCCATCTTACCTCCACATTCATGCAACAGCGCTGGCTGACACAATGCCCCTCCCAGCCCAGCCCACCCCACAAATAGATAAGAATAAAAAAATTTCTAAAATGAAACAACATGTAAAATTTTGGTTTCTCACTGGGTGCTAGGTGCTGGGAATTGAACCCAGGTCCTCTGGAAGAGCAGCCAATGTTCTTAACCATTAAGCCACCTCTCCAGCCCCCTGATTTCTCTCTAAAAGATCTTGTCTATCTTCTGTGTGTGCATATCTGCATACATGTTTGTACACCTACAGATCAAATGTGCTGCTGACCACACCAGAGGCAACTTGAGGACCTATCCTCTCCGACACATGGGTCCCTGGATTGAGTTTAGGTCAGCAGGTTTGGCAGCAAGCACTCTTCTTCACTGAGCCGTCTGGACGGCCCCACCTTGCTGTTTGAGGCAGGGTACCTTGGATGAAGCGTGACTGGCTGGCCACTTGACTTCCCGGGTTGGGATGGCAAGCATGTGTTCCTATGCCTGGCCTTCTACCTGGGTGCTGGGCCCAGTGCCTCTGTGGCAACCGCTTTAGTGGATGAGCCATCTCCCCAGGCCCTGTGCTTTTGCTGAGACACGGTTTCATGTAGCCCAGGCTACATCAGAATGAACTTGAACTGATCCTCCATGTCCTGCCTCCATGTCCTGAGTGTTGAGATGACAGGCCAGGCACGGCCACCAGAGCCTGTTTAATGTCTCCAACCGTGCTACCAACAGGGACATATACATCCCAGCTGTCTTGTCTTGCTCTCTGATGGGATTACAGTCATGTGCCAAAAAGTTTAGCTGTTTTTGTTTTTTTTTTATTTTTATTTTAAATTCTGTCTTCTTTTGCAGTTCTGAGAATCAGACCTAAGGTGTCATGAATGCTGGGTAAGTACTCTCCCACTGAGTTTCTTGTCTAGCCCTTGACATTTTAGAATCATTCAAATCTAGGCTATTTGGCCGCCCCTCACCTTTCACAAAGCAACCGATGCCAATTTGTTCTCAAAGAGGAGGAGAGCATGGAGGGGGCTGTTTTTTCTATTCATAGTGCATGTGGGAGCTCCCATGGAGTTAGTAATATATGTGCCCACAGGTTGGGACACCCTCTTCTAGTCTCGAGGTACCTAGGAAACCTAATTAATTATGGAACCTAGGAGCACGGTTGAGTTAATATAGAATCAAGGCCGAGGGAGTTAGATGTCTCGGGAGATGTTTGTGACAAGCTGTGGGGTGCTCTAGTGAGTCACCGCTCTGCTCTTTGAGAGGCACAATTGCCTCCCCGGAGGCAGCAAGGCCACTGGTCTCTCATCAGCTCCCCTCTTCCCAGGCAGGGCTGGAGATGCGCACAGGGCTGGGCAGCCCTCCCTCCCCACTTCCCTGGTTCCCTTGAGAGACTGTACACTCTGTTCATCCTTGCTCTCATCATAGCAGAACTTCCCAACAGCCTCCCACTTCCCAGAATGCAGTTGGGCATCCACTGATGATGCTACAGACCAATTGTACCCTGGGGACCTCTCTCTCTAGAGAGAGGCCTTCTGGGAAGGTTTCCTGTGGTCAAGCCCAGCTGTGCTGACAGGCTCCTTCCCAGACATCACCCAGGCCAGTTCCTGTAATCAGAAAAGCCAAGACCAGAGAGGACAGATGGGCACAACGTCCCTTCCGTCCCTGTGCCATGCTTTGGGCAAGGATACTTGACATCCTTTAGCCTGCTGAAGTGTCAAAACAAGCTGTGTGGTTGGACATGGGAGTGCTGGGATTAAAGGCGTGCGCCACCAACGCCCGGCAGGTGCATGTCTTTAATTCTTGGGCTTGGAAGGCAGAAGCAGGTAGATACCTGAGTTCAAAGCTACCCAGGTCTATGTATCAAGTCCCAGGCCAGTAAGGGCTACGAAGTGAGACCCTGTCTCAGAATAACAACTAATAACAAGATTTGATAAGTTTGAAGTCATTCTCAGATATATATAGTAAGTTCAAGGTCAGCCTAGGCTACAAGAGACCCTGAAATAAAACAACCCCCCTCCTAAAAAAAATCTTACAAACACATTAAAAAAAAAAAATCAAAGCTGGGCATTGGTGGTGCACGCCTTTAATCCCAGCACTCGGGAGGCAGAGGCCAGGGGATCTCTGAGTTCGAGGCCAGCCTGGTCTACAGAGCGAGTTCCAGGACAGGCTCCAAAACAATACAGAGAAACACTGTCTCAAAAAACAAACAAACAAACAAACAAAAAATCAAGCAGACGCTACAATCTGAGACCCAGGGAATTAATTCAGAGGCCAGTTTCCTCTCAAAGAGAGATTATTGACAAAGTCCCCCAGCCCAGGGAAGACATCTTCCATCTTCCCGTGGGGCAGAGGAGGCCACCGGCTGTCATGAAGGCAGCCTGACTGTGGGGTCAGTAACCCCAATACTGAGCTTCTGCTTGATAGCCCCTCAGGGACCTGTGACCTCCCCGAACATCACCGAGGGTCCCACAGTTGGTGGGACACCCAGACCCACTCTGGCTACTGACAAAAAGGATGGAGGCGCCACAGGAAAGCTGCACTGGGAAGGTGAGAAGCCAGGGGAGGGGCCCCAAGTGACACAGCACAGCTCTTCTACAGGGACACCCCAATTCTTTCTCCGAGCCTTGGAAGCCAAGACCAAAGTCAACTACAGCCATTGACTCTCTTGTGGCTTCTGCTTCCCAGTGGCTTTCAGCTCCTTGTTCTTGCCCACCACTGTCTCCCTCAGCATCCCCAGCACATCGGTGTAGAAGGAAGTGGAATCCTGATGGCTTGGGAAGTCACTGTCCGAAACAGAAGATCCCCGGAGCAGTTTAATGGTCCTTCCTGCCTGCCTACTCAGCTTGTAAATAGATACCTGTCTCAGGCCAAAGCCTGGCTTGGGCTTGGTGGCTAGGGTGTGGCTCCCAAGACCAGCAGCAGAGGTCAGGCCTGTGGGCGTGGCAGATGCAGCTCACCCACAGGGAGCAGCGCCCACTGTCCATCCAGAATGAGAACTGTTTTTATAGAGGGAGGATAGCCTAATGCAATTAACTCGGTCAGTTAATGGGCTGCTGCACGAGGGACACCTGCAGGTCCTGTGTTCCCCCGGGCCTCTCAGCTGCACCACACACCCTCCTCACTGTACTGTGCACTCAGACACGTGGATGCTGGTGTTTTGGGGCCCATCCTCATGGTTCAGCCTGCTCTCAACATGTCCTGTAGAGGGTGGTCACCAAAACCCTGGAGGGTTCGGCAAGCTCAGAGCCAGTGTGTCTGTGTGTGTCTGGGGGGGGAGGGGGGAAGGGGGACAGGGCTGCTTACCTGCAATGGGTAGCTCTCTGTGACAGCCTGTTTGGATCCATTAGATCATGTGATCACATAGCTGGAGAGATGCCTCAGCAGTTAAGAGCACTCAATGCTCTTGCAGAGGGACCCAAGGTCAGTTCCCAGCGCCTACCCATACTGGGTGGCTCACAACTACCTGTGAATCCCATCTGGGGCACCTGTATGTGTGTGGACCCCCATACCCATGCACATATACACATCATTCAAATATAAATCTTTTAAATCACATGACCAAAGAACATTTGGGGATACGTCTCAATGGACAGAATACTTTACAGAGTGCACAAAGCCCTGGGGTCCATTCTCCAAACCTCATGTGGTGTCCTATGCCTGTGATCCCAGCACTTGGGAAACAGAACCCTGGGGCTCAAGGGTTTAAGGTCATCCTTGGCTACATAGTGAGTTGTAGGTAGCCTGGACGACATGAGATTCCGCTTTAAAAGGAGAAGATAAAGACAAGAACCCGGGCGTCAGTTACCTGTGTGTCTATGAACATGTTTTTATATCAGCATCTATAACTTACGTGAGGGATTTGAAGATATATGAATTTTTTTATGTGCTTTGCTGTTTCATCTGCATGTATGTCAGTGTGAGGACGTCAGATCCCTGCAGCTGGAGTTACAGACAGCCATGAACTGCCTACCATGTGGGTGCTGGGAACTGAACCCAGGTCTCCTGGAAGAACAGCCAGTGCTCTTAACCTTTGAGCCATCTCTCCAGCCCTGAATGTTTGTTTTTTTTTTTTTGAGCCACTGTTTCCACATTTAAAAAAAACAAACAAACTTGGTTTTGGGGTCCCAATGTATGTCCTCACATTACCTAGCAAGCCCTTTATTGCTTCAGCCATCTCCCTAGTCCTGTGGGGTGTGTGTGTGTGTGTGTGTGTGTGTGTGTGTGTGTGTATTTTGTGCTGTGTTTTATTGTGTGTGTTGTATGTTGTATTATGTGTTGTGTGTTATTGTGTGTGTGTTGTATGTGTTGTATGTATTGTGTTGGTGTGGTGTGGGGTGTGCTGTATTGTGTGTGTGTTGTGTGTTATACTGTGTGTGTGTGTTGGGTTGTATGTTTGTGTATTGTGTGTCATATTGTGTGTATGTTGTGTTGTGTGTGGTCAATCAGCATAGTAACCAGGATTTTTTTTAAAGATTTTATTTATTTATTATGTATACAACATGCTGCTTCTGTGTGTATCTGCACACCAGAAGAGGGTACCAGATCTCATAACAGATGGTTGTGAGCCACCATGTGGTTGCTGGGAATTGAACTCAGGACCTCTGGAAGAGCAGCCAGTGCTCTTAACCTCTGAGACATCTCTCCAGCCAGTAACCAGGATTTTATTTTCCTTCTGGCACACTGTCTTCCCTTCTCATGGATGAGAAGGAACCTTCCAGAATGCTCTGTCGATGCCAGCTCTCTACCAGTCTGGGGGAGGGAAGAGCAGGGCAATGGGTGAGTGGGTGGGGGATATGGCAGCATTTGTTTCTGTCTTTAACTATTTACTTAAAGTAAAATAAATAAATCTAAAAAAACTTATGTGTGGGTATTTTGCCTGAGTGTATGTCTGTGTTCCACGTGTGCATAGTGCCTCTGGAGGCCAGAACTAGAGTCAGCTGCCCTGAGGGTGCTGGGAAATGAACCAGGTCTTTTGGAAGAGCGGAAGAGCGGCTAGTGCTCTTAACTGCTGAACAGTCTCTCTAGCCCTGGCATTTGTCTTTTAACTTTTGGACTTTATAGAGTTGAAAGAAGACAGTACCATGGGTGGTGTTTTGTGCATATGTGGGTTGTTTGTAATCCCCAATTTTCATATTGTGAATACAAGATCCTTTTGTGATCAGCAGGGAAAATGTCATAATGAAAGGCCCCAACAGATGTGGTTGGCCACTGGGTGGCCATTCTGCTGCCCTTTTCTGCAAACCGCTGGTCACAACCATCACTCTAGTGGCCCACACTTGGCCCAGGGTGGGAAACAGGGCAGAGGTCCAGTGGACTTGGTCCCCACCCTCTCCTCTTTGACCCCCAAGGACAGCAGACACAGTGGGCTCATAGCACAGTGGCCTCCTGTCCCCAGTCTGACCCCATGGGTGCTTGCTGCCAGGCCTCTGTGCTTAGCTGGACTCCAGCCTGACCTTTCTGACCAGACCAACATTTTCTGGGCCTGGCAGCGGCACAGTGTGGCACTTGCAGGTTTGGCTGGGCACTCAGGTCAAACCTCCATCTGGAGCAGGTGTGTCCTGCCATGAGGTCAGGACCCACCCGGGTTTATTAGGATGTAGCACCTGGCCAGGTGGACACAGGCTCCTGAGCCAGCCAGGGTTCCCAGCCCTGACTTCACAAGGCCACTGGTAGTGGTGTCCTGAGGCACCTGCAGCCACGCTTTTGGTCATTGCTATCCAATTGTGTGACTTCCTATGTGTCCTTTCCAGGGTTGCCATGGACCTGTTGCTCCCCACCCCGGCCCCGCTGCCCCTCCCCCACCCTAGTGAAATAGAAGATAGGAGTAAGCTTGCATCTATGCTGTGAAATTGCTTTAAGAGACAAAAAGTGTGTTATGTTTGTTGTTGTTGTTGTCAAAATCCAGAGGCTTGGGGATGTGACTCTGTTGGTAGAGCGCTTGCTTAGCACACTCAAAGTGTGGGGTTTCATCCCTAGAACTATATATACTGGGCACAGTGAGGGCACACCTGTAAATTCCCCACCCTAGGAAGATGGATGGGAAAGGAAATTCAAGATCGTCCTCACCCACATATCAAATCTGAGGCCAGCCTGGGCTACACAAGTCCCTGTCTCAAAAACAAAAACAAACAAAAACATCCTGCAACACTGAGGAGTTAAAGGAAAATCTTCAACTACTTCTCAAGTGTGCTACCCACTGACTGCGTGTGCCTGGTTCTGAGTTCAGTTCCTCCAGCAAAGGGGACTGTGGGGCCTGTGGCCAAGGAACTTAGGCTCCCTTTAAAAAATAAAGTATTTGGATGTGAGTAGCCTGGTCTACATAGTGAATGCCAGGACAGCCAGGTCTATGTAGAAAGACCCTGTCTCAAACAACAACAAAATAATAAAACAATAAAAGTAATAGCCGGGTGGTGGTGCCACATGCAAGGAATCAGGCTTCATGCTGCCTGCCCCTGTCTCCTGGCAGCATGCACTCAGGCAGTACCCTGGTCAGCATGCAAGTGCAAAGGACCCCTTTAAAAGAAAGACCCCGCCACTTATACGGGGTAGATAGGACTTTTCCCGTCTCCCTCTTCTCTTCTGTCCTCAGTTTCTGTCTGTGTCTCTTTACCTCTTCTCTTTTCTTCCCTCCCTCTTCCCCTTTCTAATAAAACTTCTCACTAAACTGTCTGCCTGGCATGCTTGTCCCTCCACCTCGGTCACCCTCGCCTGCCATGGAATCCGCCAAGGTTCCCCTCGCGCTTTATCATAACAGCACACATCTTTAATCCCAGCTCTCTGGAGACAGGCAGGATCTGAGTTTGAGGCCAGCCTGGTCTACAGAGTGAGTACAGGATAGTCACGGCTACAGAGAGGCCCTGTCTCAAAAACAGAAGAAAACAAAGTAATAATAATAATTTTTTGCTGGTAATGTCTCACTATGTAGCCTTGGTTAGCATGGAACTCACTTTGTAGACCAGGTTGACTTCACAGAGCTCCAACTATCTCTGCCTCCCTCCACAGTGCTGGGATTAAAGGTGTGTGCCACCACCACACCTGGTGAGTTTCCTTATCCGTGTGTGTGTGTGTGTGTGTGTGTGTGTGTGTGTGTGTGTGTGGTTTATTTGAGACAGGGTTTCTCTGTGTAGCTTTGTAGACCAGGCTGGCCTCGAACTCCCAGAGATCTGCCTGTTTTCTGCCTCCCCAAGTGCTAATAGTTACTGCTGAATTTTTCTAGCATCTTGTAGGCACACAACTTGGTACAGTGTTAAGCATACAGAGAATGTTGGTCTAGTGCTTAGCCAGCATGCAGGAGGCCCTGGGTTCTGTCCCCAGCACCTTATAAACTGGCAGTGGTGGTGCACACTCCTGAGTGTAATCGCAGCACTCAGGAGGGGGAGGCAGAAGGATAGCAAGTTTAAGATTTGCATAGGCAAAGCGGTGGTGGCTCAGGCCTTTAATCCCAGGACTCACTTTGTGGGTTGAATAGATAGATTGATGGATAACAATGGACACATAAAGAGACAGAGTGGGAACACAGATGGTAAGGGAGATACAGGTGACAGCTGACCAAAGCTCTGTGAGGCTGTGAAGGGACTACTGCTTCCTGACCCTCACCATGGCTGTCCCCCTCTTTTCCTGGATTCCTGTGGCTCTCAAACCTGAGAGGAGCCCCACATTAATCTGTTGTAATTTTCATATTCTCAACAAAAATGTCTTAGAGACAGAGACAGTGTGTCCTTGGGCTTTGAACTGTCCTGGTGCCTACCCTAGCCCAGAGAACTTGTGGGTGACCAAGCACCTGAAGGTGTAGGGCTCGGAAATGGAGATCATGGCCACCAGAGGGCCACAGGGCTGGCTTTGGTTGTCAGTGCCATCTGGGGCCGTTTTGATCCAGAGCCCCCCAGGTACCAGTTTGTCAACCTTGGAAGTCTGCAGGCACACCTGTCCCAGCAGGTCTAGGAGGCATGTGGGCTGGGGCAATGGAGCCCTCCTATGGCCCTTCCCAAGGGTCCTCACATTTCTGTGCTTTCTGGGTCACCGGCTCCAGGAATAGACCTGCTCTGTAACTGAAACCCTTCCTGAAAATCCCATGTGTTAAGGCAGCCGAGATGGTCCTGTTCATCACAGGGCAAGAGACAGTAGTGGCTGGGCCAAGAGCCCTGTGAGCCCAGGGAGGAGACAAGACCCACCTTGGGGAGCCTCCCTGACCCCAGACTTTGGTCCTGGAGGGCCTGAGAAGAGGGAAGCACTGATGATGTCTGTGGTTTCTACTCCATCCGGGACCACAGGTGTCACCATTGCCATCGACAGCAGGATCTTTTTCCAGATATG